TTTCTTTCTTTCTTTCTTTCTTTCTTTCTTTCTTTCTTTCTTCTTCTTTCTTTCTTTCTTTCTTTCTTTCTTTCTTTCTTTCTTTCTTTCTTTCTTTCTTTCTTTCTTTCTTTCTTTCTTTCTTTAGATTGATAATTTATTTTCATTTTGTTTTAGTTGAATTTTGAACTTTTAAAATTGCTAAACTAACTTAATAAGTGCGAAGCTTACAAACGAAAGGGAATGCATTTCAAATAGTATCGTGCAAAATGATGGTTTATTTATAATTTAAGTCTAGCATTTTTGTGTTTTGTTTAAAACCAACATACTCTATTTTTTGTATAAATTAAAAATCTCATCCTAATTTAAACAAGAGAGGCATTATTAGTTATTTTATTTTAAAAAAATCACAACAAAATGGAAACGCTAAATTTTTGCAAACTATAACAAATTTTTTAAAAAATATTATAAACCTTAGGCCTCATTTATAGTAAACGCGTTAAACTTTGTGCTATTTAAGACTATAGTAATCAGAGCACAATCTGTAGAGCTTTATAATTTTTGAAATATACATCGCATTAGAGATCTGCATTTGGCGGGCATTAAGCCCATAAACCTGCCAACCCAACATTTAAAAAAAAATTTAACCCGCCCGTCTAGCTTACCCATAGTTTTTTAAAAAAATACCCTCTCATTAATCTAAAATTACTTACCCGTCCGCTCTCTTATTAGTTAAAAATTTTTACCCGCCCGCCCATTATTTATAAAAGAATTTAATAAAGCCCATTATTTTAAAATAATTTAATTGTGGTCATTCTTTTAATCAAGCATATAATAAAAAAATTAATTCAGTTTCAACATTCAAAAAGTTTTACATTAAAAAAAATGTCTGTTAATGTTTTTGAAACAAGAAATTTATGATAGCAGCAGCGTCTACATGACAGGATTTTCATTTAATGCAAACCCCCTTCAAAAACCTTTGCCTATCCCCTAAAAAATCTCCGCCGCCTTCTGCGGCTGTGTCTCTTTATTTTTATTTTGACCTTTATAATTATATTGATACTCTTTTCAGAGAATTTATAGATAACTTAAATTAATCTATTTCTCTCTACTACCAACTATCGATATTTTGTGATTACAAAGAATTTATTTTTTAGATAATAAATTCAATCAAAACCTCCATTATTTACAATGAATTAATTGTTATGGCATTATGAGCTTGCTGATATATCTAAATTTTTTAAATTACATTTAAAAGGATAGCAGAAAGTTTTATTTGGAAAACAATGTGTATGATTGTTTGCAATATATAGATTTGGTCGATAATTGTATTATAATAATTCTATAATAAAAGTATTAATTTTTACAGCAATAAATTTTGTCCTATTTCATCTCAAAATTTAATAGATAACCCCCCCTACCCAAAAAAAATAATTTATCCTACCGCCATTAAAGCAGCTTACCCCCTCAAAAAATAGGATGCAAACTGTTCCTACCCCTCCCGCTCATGTAGACGCTGGATAGCAGTCATTTTAGAACGGCTACGACTGTTGTAAGATGACTACCCATGGTTAAATAAGAGCAGTATTACCCATAATTTTTAATGGTAAACCAAGCAGAGTAAAAGCCTAGGCGACCCTTGATTCCTTTAAAAAAATTTTTTTATAATGGATTAAGGTGAAGGAAAATGTAACTTAGATAATTCTTGGTCTAGGGAAGTCGAGCCGTTTAGCAACACTAGTCTTATGAACCCAATTAAAAAATAATTGACCAATATATTATATTAGTTTGTAAAAAGGCATCAAAATTGATTAATAAAAAAGTTTTAAAAGCTTTCACTCAAAGATGACATGTTATATCATTTATAATTTGTTTCTATAATTTCTCTGTACATCTTGAGCTAAATAAACATAATATGAAAACTCTAAAATTTTGCAAAAATATCACACGTCGTTTTACCACATCAACTTCTAGATTTAGTGACAAATACACCAATTTAAATGACCAAGTTGGATCGGTAACTAAATATGTAAGGTTGTATAATATAATTTATTCTTTTAGAATTTACCATTTGGGATTAAAAATCGTAGGCTGCTGTGCTTAGGAATGACAATTTATTTTGGAGTCCCATTTGCCCTACCATTTTATGTCTTGAGACATCACATGTTAAGGGGTACAAAATGAAATGAATATAATTTTCAATTGTATTTAATAAAATGCTGATTTTACTTTGAAATTTTTTATGAATTGGCTTTATTATTTGAATTTTTATCTATAAAAATGACTCTGTAATTTTAGCAATAGTTGTTCATGTTTTTTTCAATATAATTATTGATGGTTTGATAAATGGTAATTTTTTGATGGTATATTAATAAAAGTATATATTTTACAGTTTTTTATAGCATATTTTAATAATTTTAAATAAATATCATGTTTATATTTTCAATTTAATAGCAAATACATAGATTCACCTCTGTTGTATGGCTCCTCTAATCAAAATCATTAAATGGGAATATTGAAATTTTAAATAGGTGATTCCATATCAATTTTTGGCCAAATCATTCTAATTAAAATATGATATTGCCTAAAATTTTCAAACAATTCATTTCTAATATTGTCCATATTAATAAATGTCTTATTTTGTTTTGTGCTAAATTATTAAGCACTATGAAGGTTATGTAAGAGAAACCAAATTTATATTATCTGAATAATGGGCAAAAATAAGTCATATCTACATGTGAGATTCAAAAGTAATATCATATGGGTTGATAAAAACTTATTAAAATTTATTAGTTATTTTGTTAAAATCAGTTGGGTTCCAAGATGATAATTTTATGGGTTCTAGTTTTTAAAAATTTTAAAGGGCTCTGGTTTCTATATGTCTCAGTCTGAAGCCTTCCCTCCATATCAAATTAAATATACAAATTTATATGGGTTACATTAATCAATTATTTAATATCTCAAAACTAGGTTAAAAATGACTTATTTTTGCACCTTAATCCATATACCTCAAGTAATATAGAAGTTATAACATTAAATTTAGACATATATTCAGATAAATTTTTATCTTTTTAAAAGAGATTGTAGAGAGGAGTAGGATTTGATGATGGAAATGACCCATATAGTTAAATTATATTAAAAGAATATCAAAATATTATCATTAGGTCATTTGTGTTATAGTCCAACCAATAGTGTCATTAAAATATGGACAATTCTTGTCTCCTTAAACTTTAGAGTTCACCTTAAAATGTTTTGATTTTTTAAATTCTGCAAAATCACCATCAAATTAACACAATATTCACATAAAAAAATTAGATAATTTCATTCAACCTGATATTTTTTTTAGCAAATTAATACCTTTAGATCTTGGGAAAATTATGAATCTCATATATTTGTACATTAATATAATATTTTGGGTTAGCAAAAATGATAGTATTTTTATAAAAATAAATCAATATATTTTTTATTTAAAATTTACAAATGGAAAAAAAATATATTTGATAAATGAATCATAATTTTAAATGTTAAAATAAATTTTGTAATTTCATTTTTTTTCAAATTTTCATCATATAATTTTGAGAAATATGCATATTTTAATTATTTATAAGCACCAACTTTAATATTTATATTACATGATATGTGCAATTTATTTAATTCCTAACATTTGCTAATTTTTAAAAAATGTGTTTTTATTATAGAATCAAACATTGTAATATTTTATATTAGTTTATGTTAGTAATCACTCTTAATGTTGTACTTGCAACCCGCCATGATAGATATTCATCATTTCCGATATTTAATGCATAACAATTTCTAAAATTTATTTAAACGTCTATAGGCTGGAGACAATAGTATTAGACTTCATCATCGTCAGTCTCACTAGTAGGATTATTATGCATTAATAAATTCCTATAGTCGGTATTTTAATTAGGCTCAGCTAAATTAAAAAATTAAATACAAATATTCTACTAACATTTGACCGAGTATTTAAAAGCTAATAGTCAGTAGGTGTGCGAGGTAAAAAGAGCAATCTCCATATCCGAAAAATATGAATTATAAAATATTTAGGAAGAGATATTAAAGGTTTTCATAAAGTTCAAAGTATCCCTATTTTAAAAATGTTAAATTCAATTTTAAATAATTTATTTTTATTGCTCTTGGTAAATATCAAATGGCCTGAACCAAGCACTTAATCTCCAGCAGATACATTACTAGATTTAATATGACAGTATTAAGTTACAAAATTATCTTATGCAATTTTTTTCTAAAAAATGATTATTTGTCACAAATCATGGAATCTTTGATATTCTTGTATTACAACTTAGATAAGTAAGAAAATATTGACCAAAAATTTCACCTAATATAATATAATTTTTGAGGTGAAATCAAATTATGTGATTTTGATATTCAAGTCTCTACTTACACTGAGGTAAACATTGTTCAGATTTTAGTATAGTGTCGCTTCAATTGAAGAATAACCGTCAGTGATTTAAATCAATATTTTTAAAAAAATTATATTTACTAAATTTAATCAAAATGCTTAAAATAAGGAAAGATAAAGGCAGATTATTTTATATTATTTGTCACCATGCCTTGAGTAGACTCGGATGAAGTTTAAAAATTTTAAATTAAATAATTTATTGGCCGATAATTGGTATTATTGCATTTCTGATATTAATGATTAAATTACTTTAAAAATGTTGTTTCGGATGACAAGCGTTACTTAATGCCCATTCTTGAATATACACGATGTTAAATGTAACAAAATTTAATTATAATTAGTTAAAAAATAATATTCAAATATATTTGTTCAATTTTTAAATCCAACTTAGCCAAAAAAAAATCGGGTTAATTTCAGTTGGAAAAAAAAATAAAAATTATTTTATATAACGCATAATTTTAAATACTTTATCAAAGTTTTTAAAAAATAACATTCTTATAGGTAAAATATAATTTATTTTAAATCAGGCTTCTCTAAATATAACGGCTCTAATCAAAGTTATAAAGACAAGCAAGTTTTATTTTAATATAAATTATGCAATTACACAAAGCAATATAAATACTTTAAAAAAAATATACAATATAGTAGCATCTTTATTTTAATGCCAAAATTCTTTTTTCTAACTGGGAGCAATTCTCTTGTATAATTTTAGTATTGTCCTTAAATTCCTCTTTTACCTAATTATTATTTTTTTTAAAAAAAATTTGAAACAAGTTTTAACCCCCAAAGTTAGTGAGTTAGTGGTGAAGAATATAAAAAATACAGCATATTATATATACTTCACTACCAGTGTTGTTAAACGCTACTTTTAAAAGTAGCGCGCTATCGCTACCGCTATTTTATAAAAAAAGTAATGCGCTATCGTTTTCAAATGAGTAGCGCGCTATTAGCTACTTTGATTTTTTTTTTAATATTTTTTTTTTACGTAACTATTTCCACGAATAAAATATTGATATAAAAACATGACTATAATTTGTTATATATATATATAATTTACTTATTATTGCACTTCAATAATAATAACATTTCGGTACGGTCATCCCCAAGTCTAGAGCGACGATCAGAAAGTATAAGCTTTGCCATACTAAATAATCGTTCAGCACTAGCACTTGAGGGCAACACAGTATTAAATTTAATAAACAAACTTTTTATATGAAAAAAATCATCAAAAATATTTAAATTAGTATTTTTAGATTTAAAAAAAGCATCTAGAAGGTTCAATAATATTATTATTATTTATTTCAAAAAAATCGTCTATGGAAGGCTATGGTTCCGATCTTGCTATAGTATCGTGGTTAGGCATGCCATTTTTTAACGTTACCATCAGCCTATCAAGTTGCCCTTTAGATTCAGTCAAATTAATGTATGGCCAATTTAACTTGAAACTAAGATGATCTTGGTCCGTGGAGAAAAAGTGTTTATCATCTTTATAAAAGAATCATTATACCAAGGATAATGGTTGAACTGTATCTATTATAAAGTTCATAATGACTTTGTCAGCCAATTTTTGGGATACACCAGGTGTTGATGAATCCAAATTGGTTAATTTTGTTTGTATTAAATTTGATTTGGAAGTGGGTTTATCTTCTTCCATTACCCCAAAACTTTTAAGACATTTTTCAACTCTATATAATTTGAAGTGTGCACAGTCTAAAATTATAAAATACTTAGAATATAAATTATGTAGGAGATAAGTATACATAAAAATGATTGAAATAACTATTTTAAATAATTTAGATAAAATTTATAAATATATAAAAAAAATGATTGGTTTTTGATTTTAATTTATTTTAAAAATTAAAGATTAGCCTACACATTGATATTAAATTTGTTTAATATATTACCTTTGAATGTTTTTTCAAATTAAAGCTGCTCGTATGATTTGAAGAGATAATTTTGCGGCACATCTTGCACCGAAACCGATATCCAGTATTAATTTTTTCTTCATAAAGTATTTCTTGAATTTTGGGAAAGGATCATCTATATTTTGCTCATTTTCCAAAGAAATTTCAATATCTTCAACAATCTCACACATAACAAGATTTATAATGCTTAATATAAAATGTAAAATGAAATATAAAATAAGATAAAAGCAAGGACACACCAATAACGGAATTTCAAAAATATATAATTTAATTAATGCGCGAAATATAAATTAAATACAGATTGCTATTTAACAACTGTTTATATCTAATATATAACAATAATGTATATTTAAATATAAATTTCAAAATTAAATTAAATAAAAGGATTATAATTTTAGATTTTATAAAAAATATATTTTAATAATTTTTAGATGTATTTATTATGTAAAATTGAAAGTGCGCTACTTCGCTACTTTCTAAATTAGTAGCGAGCTACCGCTATTGCTATTTTTTTTAAAAAGTAGCGCGCTATTTTAACAACACTGTTCACTACAAATTCGTTCTAACTGTAATGAGGGGTAATAAATAAAATAATTATTGTGTTTTACCTTCTGAAAAATGTCCGCATTTTGTTTCAACGTTTTTTGAATGCTGTCTTGATTGGCCACTAACTCTTCGTAGAGTTCTTCAAATTCCACACCTAAATTCAAATTTAGCAATATAGAGCTTCATATAAATAAAAGACCTGAACAAGCCCAAACCGTTAAATGGTATATAAAAAAAAATTCTGGTCGGGTTTAAATTTTTTTCTGATAAAACCAATATCAAAGAAGATTTTAAAAAAATCTAAAATGAGCTGAGCCAAAAAAAATATTTTTTTAAATCAGAGCCAAATCTTAAAAATAAAATTTCTTTTAAAAAAAATCCTGCTTAAAATTTTCAACCCTGCATTTAGTTTCTAGCGTTGTAATTTGGCTCGACTTTTAAAAAAGGCCAGCCCGATATTTTGGCCAAATGAATATTATGCAATTCCGGAGATTTTTCTAAATTTATAACCTTTTTGTTTAATTTAGAAAGAAAAAATATATTTCGTAAATTAAAAATTAAAAGAATATTAATTTAATAATAAAATAGGAATTTCAACTTTCACACACCTTTCCTATATACGCCATTTAAGTCTGTTAGCCGTTGGCATATGCTAGGTAGATCGGTACACACAGCTTCACAAGATTTGATGGCATCATACAATTTATTAATCTAAGTAACATTTTTTTTAATGAATATATACATCACAAATATTTGAATGATAATGGTACGACCCATCAATTAATCGTGAAGGTAGCAAGAACATTGGACTAGTAGGGAGGATGAAAAAAATATGCTAATATAGACTATGCGCGTTATGTTATTTAAACGCGCCTAATTTTTAGAAAAATTAATTATAAATTGGTATTTTCAACCCATTCTAAGCCTATCAAGCAAAAAATTTTGTCAATTTTATCTTACAGAGTTCTAGCATAGATAGTTAAGGCATTAATTACATGTATAATGGTATGATTAAATAATTAAAGTTTTAATGGTAGGTTTGTTAAGTTCTCTATTTTATATTTAAAAAAAATAAACGATTAAAACGTATGATCACAGGTAGTGATGCAAAATCGCTCTATTTGAACCGATTTTTAAAAACGGTTATCTCAGTATTTTAACCAGAAAAATATTACGCAAGCTTAAAGATTTTTCTCATAAATGGCACATAGCTTGATATCTATTGGCGAAATCTCGAGGCTTAGGCAATATTTTTCTAACTAAAATATTGAGCTTGCCGTTTTTAAAAATCGGCTCAAATGGAGCGATTTTGAACTAATCACGGGTTTGAAGTTGTGAAATCTTAGACTTGGTATAATATTACTCTGAATATTAACGATATCTTAAAGATTTTTCGTTGTTATTTATAAAATTTAAACAATTCCTTTATTACATACTTTATCTTTTTCCTCGGGACTTAGTGCATTAATTTTTCCGTTGTTTTGATCCCCTGTTACATTTTCTTGCCTTGGATTGCCATCCGGTTTACTGCTGCTACTAGGATTATTGTTAGGAAACAATTGTGAGTATTGAATCATCAAATCTTTGCAATAGTTTTCGATAGTATTTCTCTCCGATGTGTTTACGAGTCGTTCCAGCATGGATAATTTAAAATTTAAGGCGGATACTATGTCCTTTAAGGTTAACAATTATGTCATTCAAAAAAAAATTGTTAATATAAGTTTTTAAAAATTAACTATTAGATTAGATTTTATTACTAAGCCCAACCGTTTATGTATAAGAAAATATATTATATACAGCTTGAAACCACCTAAACTAAAAAGGGTTGTGGTTCCTAAATTGTCTACATTTCTGGGGTTTCCAGTTTAGATTATAGATGCAAAAGAATAAGATGCAATTTTGACAAAATTAAAATAAATTCAAAAAAGTGTTTTTTTAAAAAAAGCTTAAAAGTATATTTAGAAAAATGTTTTAATTAAATTAACATTTAAGAAGTAAAAACGAATCTTTAATAAGTTAATTAGTACACTATACAATACAAATATTTTATAAGTTTAATGTCAATATAGTTTTTTTAGGCAATATGTTTTTATAGCGTTTTTTAGATTTAAAAATTGACTTTATTAAAATTTAAAAGAAGTGTAATAGTGCGCACAAATTGAAACCTTTTGAACGCTGCGTTGCAAACGCAAATAATGTATTTAAAATGGCATCGTGCAAATTGGTAAAATTTCAGCTTTAACGTTAGCAACTATTTTAATAAAGCCTAAACAGGTTTGCTTTTTTATACTTTTTTACTTCATTTTGTAATATTATATAAAATGTAAAAATATATTACTAACTGTTACCTTAGTAATATTTAGATATTAAATAAATAAAAAGGTAGACGATAATAAAATTTTCAAAGACAAATCCTTTTTTAGAACTTAGTTATAATTTTGAATAGACGATATTAATAAAAAGGTAAAAGTCAATTTAAACAAGTGATATGTTACCTTTTTTTAATTAAAAAATTATGGTAAAACGCAAAAGCTCAATTTGTGTGCATTATAACAAATGACTTGAGGAGTATATAATAGGCAAAAATCTTTGAAGTGTTGTTTTTTTCAAACTCGAAAGTGATACATAGATTAAGTTAATTCACATATATATATTACCGTGATAGAAGTCGATTCAATTTGATTAGTAGAGTATTCTGAAAAGCATGACTTGAATATATTTTTTTTAAAAAAAAAGAATTTTAATGAATCGCCACTTACAAACTGAAATAGGTTTCTGATTTATCAGAAGTAAAAGATACAAATTTGGAATAGTTTTAATAAATGCGAAGTGAATTTTTTTAAAAAAAATAATTGCCTTAGTGTAGATTTATTAACTCCACTGAAAATTCTATTATTTAATTATCTACCAAGTTTTTTTTCAACCTTAATTTGTTTAGTTCACTTTTCAGGATGAAAGGCAAAAAAAAAATCGGGCAAACTTCGATTAAGGCTGGATTTGTAGTGGGGTCTAATCCGACCCGATTTAAAAGCTGAGCTAGATTATTATCGTGAATAGAATTAAAGATAAATTTAAAAATTGATCTTATATACAAATTATAAAAATCTACCAGCCGTTAAATCGCATCTAATCGGATACCACTATGAATCCAGCCTAAAATACAAATTTTAAATATATATTTAAACTAATTTATCGTTTAGTGAGCGTCTATCCCCTACGATAGTTTCCAATCTGTTGAGTCTTTGAGTCAATTCAGAAACCTTTATAATTTTTTTATAGATACAATAATTCCAATATGTGGAAAATAATTAGAACTTAAGATAAAAACTCGTGCCGTGGTTAGAAAAAATTTCCCCAGAAAATAAGGTAACATCACTACGGTTGAAAATTACTTTTCGGCATATAGCCATTTTAGATTGACAGTTATCATTATTATATCTTTAAAAATTTTAAAATTTTAATATTGCATGTTTATATAATTAATAAAAAAAAGGTAAAACAGAGTTTTTGAAACACGTCATGTGTGCATTTTTCCTTTAAAAATTAGTTGATTTTTACAATCATAATTTATATATTTTTTATATTAAGTTGTGTTCAAAATATCAAATAATGTAATTCACAAACTTCTGTAACTTTAAAGAAAATATATAAGCTCTTTAAAAATTAAATATATCAAACACGATTATAGAATAATATTTTTTTAATTTCAAAAATTGAACATATGATTTTATTAAAATTTTAAAATTTGCAAAAGTATTAAAACATTTCTTTTTTTTAAAAATAAGATTGTGGACATAATCTTAATAACGAACTTAAAATATATATGTATAAATAAATCACAATATAAAATTGACTAATAATATAGTATATATAACTTTAAAAAAATTAAATTAGACAATTAAAAATGTGGGATGTTTATTTACATAGCCATATGGAAGCATGAATAGCAATGCAATTGCTCTGATAAATTGTCATAATAGCTTACTTTAGGTAAAACTAGAAGGCTTCATTACGATCGCCTCTTATCTCGCTTATATTTCTACCAAATAATTTGACAAAATTAAGGAATTCCTCACCAAAAACAACAATAGTAATGGGTTCAAATGAAATAAGTGTTATCATTGCCATGTCCGCATATTTATCTATCTGAGTTCGGCTAAATTAATCGCAGAGATCTTTTTATTGGTTCACTGAAAAAATCCCAAGAAACTCTAAAAACATTTGGTATTTTGTTGCTGTTTGAGTATAAGGATTTAGCTCAAAGGATATTTGAACTGGAGGTCTACATTGGGCTAGTGGGTTAACATTTTTAAAGAACGAGCGGGCGGATTAAGTAAAATATTTAAACTATGGGTAGGAGGGCGAGTAGTAAAAAAATTTAATTTTTTTTTGTTATTTAAAATAATTTAAGCAAACATTAAAAAAATAACTTTATGAAATTTCAACATTTATAATACCAAATTAATTAGATAAAAAATATAACGAAAACACGTTGGATTTGATTTGCATGGAAGAATATAAAATCAACGTGGATGAAAATCTGATTTCACCCGTTTCCCCAAAAGCAAAGAGAGTTCAATTAAAGATGATTAAATTATACATCCAGGTCAAAATTAAAGTAGATGGGAAGATGTGGCTGTAGAGAAGAAAAAATTACCTAATGCCATAACAAAAATTTAAATCTTAAATTACTGAGTTTTTGTGTAATTTAACAAGATTTTAGGCTACTTCAATTAATAAACAATTAATTTAAATTACTTTATTGATTTATTATTAATGGTTTCACTTTTTATATAAATATCTCACTTGAATAGAGGAAACGGATATCTACTTTGATGGAAACGACAAGTAAAAGATTTATCAAAGCTATCAAGATTAGCTAGAAAAATATAGGCAATTCCAGCAACCAGTGCTTCTTTTGAACGAGGATTTAGCATTGCTGAGGCTTTTAGGGTCAATAAATATTAATTTTATATTATTACATAAATATTTTATTAGATAAAATAAATTCCTTATCCGAAATTTATATTGAATATTTTTTTTAATCATTAATATAGCAATTTTTTAAATTATAAAACATTTTTGTTTAGATGTAGCGCTGAAATTAAATCATTTTTTTATTATTAAATGCAAATGCTTAAAAAAATTGAAAAAATGAGGTTATTTAAATTTTCTATGGGCGGAAAAATATGAGCGGGTAGTTTAAATTTTTATAAAAATATTGGACGAGCAGGCTTGTGGGCCGCGCCCGGAGACTTTTTTAAGGTTTTTGAAATCAGATTAATGATGTCTGTATGCATTGGGAAGTAGCTTTTGGAATATTTTCAGAGTAAAGGGTGGCATCTTATAGAGTCTGAAGGTATGGAACAATAATAGCGACATGCAGTTCTTCATAAAGAGAAGACAGAGATTCTTTACTTGGAATGGCTGACAACCGTTTAAAGCCAGATGATTTTGAATAACTTGACTAACTATTAGATTTCAATTATGGCATGCTGTACATGAACGGTATCTAAGTAAATTTACATGTAATGAAACTGAATGGGTTTTCAAAAATATCTCCAATACAATAAAGCTGGGCTACGCTGCTTAGGTGACAATAAAGTAGTTTTTATTTAAGCTTATTATACAAATATAATATGTACCATATTTAAAAAAAGTATACGATTAAACCACATTGTTTAAAGTTTTTTTTTAAAGCCAGATTTAATAAATACTTATGGTATTTTTTCAAATATACAGAAAGAAAGAATTACTCGTGATTTAAATTCCTCTGTTTGGCTAGAAGATTCTTCAGTTGTTGATTTTTGCAATAATTCTGGATTGCAAAAGAGTTCGAACGTTACCTCATTTTTATCTGGTTTATTCTTTTCATCACCTTTCAAAGTGGCTTCAAAATGATTAATCGAATTCAGGACAGTTCTTAAAAAAAGGTATAAAATGTGCATATTTGTGAAAAATATTATTCAATCACATAGAAATCCATAAATACATCTATATATTTTATATAATCGTTTCTTCAGGAAGGGGTGGAAGGGGGGGGGGGGGGGGTAGTGTGAAGGCATATTAGTTTGGCGGGAATTCGAAGCGGTTTTTGTAAAAGGTTTGTGAAACGCTCGAAAATAAATCGCATATAAATTAAGGGCAATTTCGTTATAACCCGTTTAAATTCAGGTTCTTGTAAAGTTTAAATCGGGGTGGCTTCACTTCACATAAATTTTAAGAGGAGTGTCTTGTTCTTGTATTCGACCAGATTACCAGGGCTTAGATTCGGTTCAAAACTAATTGTAAATTATAAATATCAGGGAATTAAAATTAAGGAACAAGTTATATACAAAATAAATTAAATTTCTCGCAATTGAATCTGCTAGAAATGGCTTGAAAAAAAATGAAAGATTTAACTTGTCTCCGGCAAGAATTGCTTCCATCATATTAGTGATATCCTTGTCAACGGTGGAGCCACTCATGATTGATCCGTATTGTAATTTCTTAATTTTTTCATTTGTTTCCTCCAAATTAGCCATCAAAATTTCGGGTTTTATATTACTGTACAATTGGTCGATGCCTATTTTGGGATCATTTTGTTGGTCCAACTTTTAAATTTTATAAAAAAAAATCAGACTGATTCTTATTTAGAATTAATTTTAATGTAAATGAAATTTGTTTATATCAAAATTCATAAATTCTAATAATAAATATTCAAATACATAAGCAGATCAAAACTTGTAATTGCTGCAATTGGGTTTGAAGATCCGTAAGATCTCTTTGTATTCTCTCGTATTTTTCTAATGGACTCTCTTGCAGGAGTTTTTCCTAGGGAAAAAATAATCAAGCTGATTAATATTAATAAAAATTAAAACTGGATCATATTCTATTGTCATATATCCTTTAGGGATGTTAGCCCGTTTGAATTTGTTACTGATATCATCTTCAGAAAAATCTAAAATAAATGATTTCATTTTACATAATTCCTTATAATAAATTTAGTCATGGAATTCAATAGTCCCACATAACTGAAATGCATGCATCTTGTAAATTATGCTTGGTTTTAATATGATACAAGATTATACATTTTTTAAAAGGTTAAGGGCAGGAACTATTCCCGATTCTAAAAATATACTTGAAAACATCTATTACATCATTATATTGGGATGATGCTCAGATAAGTTCGACAGTAAGAAGGTGTTTTATAACTGGAATACATGTAGTTTGTTCAACAAAGAGAACTAATGCTGTTAGTTGTGAGAAATCGGAAGGGCCTAGTTGTTGGTTTATAGTAGCATTGTTAAATGGCTCGATTTGAGCCAAAGACGACTAACTGTTTTTAATTAATTTTAGAAAATTTAAAAAGTTTGGGAAATTGTTTGCTAGGTGTGGAATAACTAAGCAGGGACGAATCCAATCATATAAAATATAGATTGTCTCAATATAAAAATCTAATATGGGAGACCGGGGTTGAAGTGTTATAAAAAAAGGCTTAGTAAATTTTTCAAAAATAAAAGTAGTTTTTTTCTTTACATATCTTTATGGTTAATATTTAAGTAAAATGACAATCCCGTCTCTCTTGAACCTAGGCACATTGATATAAAAATATCGAGTTATTTTAGATAAGATATCTCCATTTTTTAAAACAATACTATACTAATCATGGTGAACAATTGAATTTATATATAATTTAAATTGCTAAAGAATTAATTATAAATTTAGAAGAATTAAACAAAATTTCAGAAAATCAACTACCAGTTTTTTTAATATCTCTAATTATCTTTATAAAAATAAATAATTGCTTTGAATTAGGGTTAAATAACAAATAAATACATTCCGCATCAATATTAAACTTGGGTCTGGGCCAACCAAGTAGAGTCAACTATTGAGACAACTAGAGCGAACTCCTGAAATGACTAATGCCAACTCATCTAGATGGCTTGAGCCTTAGCCAATTTTTACTACATTAAGCCATACCCCAAAAATTATTAATTAAATATCTAAATATAGATAAATTCCTAAAATAAATTTTTCCAGGTCATAGAAGATAATCATTTTGAATTTTATGTTAATTATAATTAATATAGAATTGAATTACTCGTTCTCTATTTTTTAAATTGGGTTTTATCAATCACAACTTGAGTTGCTTGTGTAAAGTTAATATTTTTATCTCAATATATGATGTTTTATAAAATAAAAGAATATTTCTTTTTTAATATGATAATTATCTTTATGCGAGTATTGAACTACTCATCCTCAATTTTTAATTTGGGTTCCTAATCACAACGTGAGTTGATAGTGTAAAGTAAAAATTATACAATATTTTCAGATTATATGAAGAGAACAATTTTAAAAAAGGGAATCTAAGATTATTAAACATAATTATTTCTATGCCAATATTGAAATATTCATCCTTCTATGCATAAAAATATGATCGAGCAAAATATTCATATTAAAATATTTTAATAATTTGGCTTTGGGTTGGTGCTCAGTTCTATAGATTTGGTCAACCAGATCGACCCATTTTGTTGGGTTGGTTCTGGTTCATTTTTTTGTTCAAAAACCAGGGTCGTGGTTGCTATTTAAACTCACTAGTATACATATTTTATCATATAATTAGATAAGATAGTATTTAAAAAAAGAGGTAATTTATCAAAATAAATAAAAATCTATATTTTTTTTAAGAATATAAATATGAAAAAAAATATAAATTTTCAACCAAAATATTATTTAATATTATTTCAAATAAACAGTTACAAAATAGAAAAAAATATGATTTTTTTATCACCAAAAAAAGTAATTAAACAAATTTTAATTTTTATGGAAAAATATATCAAAAATTTTATTTTTTCTAGTTAGACAAATTCTTTGATTGATAAAATTTCAAATGATAATTCTAACAATAATTTATACTCTACTTACTCTCTTTAATAAAAATGTTGCAACATGTTGTCGGAAATAAATTCAAATTTTATGAATTGCAAAAAAAATAATAATATAGGTTACAAACTTTATATAATAAATATAATAAGAGCCACTTTACAATTTTAATACACCAGTTATCACAAAAAATAAAAATTGTGGCAGGATGCAGATTGCCTTAAATTGGTGTCATAAAATTGCCAAAAAAGTGTGACTATGATACCATTAGGCCTAATAAATAAAATTTAGGTTTAAAAAAATCAATTATAATTAATAAATTAAGGATATAACTTGAGTAATGAGAAATAGTAACACGTTTGTCTTTGAATTTGTTAAAAGCTTGATCAGGATCTAGATGATATGAGTTAATATTTTCAGAAGCTGTGTTAACATCAATATCATTCTAGTATTTTTTTGTAAATATGAATATATAAAAAAAATTTAAATAACTAGAATTGTCATTAAACACAGTAATTTATATTTATTGAAGATTATATAACAGTAAATATATATAATCATCATTTAAATAAGGAGATTCAATTAATTTTTCAAAATATAATTAGATGAGAAGTGAAAAAACTATGTATTGATATTATGAATCCTAAAAATATATTAAATATCTTATGCCAAAATAAATGTTAGATACATTAAAAATATTATTTTATTAAAAAAATTATTGTAAAATAAAAAATATATACGTTTTCAATATCTTTTTCTAAATTTTTTGGACTTGGAGATTCATATATGTCTGGCTCATCAAATGCCTATAAATAAATAATGAAATATATATGATTATTTTATTTAAACCATTCCAGGGAGAGAAAATTTAATTTCATTATCCATAAACACTAGTGATCATTTGAATTTATTTGATATTTTATGAAAGCATGCGAAGGCAATTTTGTCATATTTTAAAAGCATATGACAGTTATAATTTTGACATTAAAATTTAGATTACATTTTGTTGAATATTCTGAAGGTATTATTCTATATCTTTTTGAAACAGATCATTATATTTTAATATATATTTTCTTTTAAAAATATATTTTGATTTGCACATTTTATATAAATTTCTATTCTTTTTGTAGAGCAACTTAACAAAAATTTGTATTTAAGTTTTACAGTTTAGCCAAATAACTTAATATTTGGCTTCATATTTCAAATTAATTTTTTTTGGGTTTTATCTGGTGATACTTTATTTTAATAGGATATATGCACTATTGAATTCAAAATATATATTAATAAACAAATTAGGATATATTAAAAATTTACATTTAAAAAAAAATACATATAAATCTATGAAAAAAAATGTAAAAAAGGACTAAGAGAAAAAAAAATATTAAAAAAGAGGGGTATATAAAAATTGGACCGATTGATTTTTAGGAAAATCTGCAGATGAAGATAAATCCTTCATTGGGGTTTAAATATTTTATTAATTGAAATAACTTTGCTTTAATATATTCTATTTTTCATAATTTTAAACTTTAAGATACTTATATTTTTATGAACTTTATTCATTTTATTAACCTTGAAAGTTATATTTTAAATAAAAGAAAAGTTATTATCCGCTGCTTCACTTACTTTACATATAATATATTTTTAACCCTACCTTTCAGCACTGTAAACCCCATTATCGGCACTAAGGCGGAGGGTCGCAGAGGCTTGAGCCTCGTAAAAAATTTGAAAAGCCCCCTTAAAATATTGATTTTCTTTATACTAAATAACATTTTGATAATGTTAGCTAAAAAAAAGAGGAAAATTTTAAAAATATTAGCTAAAATAAAGTAATTTTGGATTATGTTAGCTAAAAAAAGGTAATTTTAGATGATATTAGCTTCAAAAAAGTGATATTTTTGAAATATTTTTTTAAGCCCCCCCCCCCTGAAATTATAAAGGCTAGTGACGCCCCTGGTAAACCCTACTTCAAAAGTATGGGCTAAAATTTTGGTTCAGCTAAAAATCTATCAAGTGGATTCAGAGTTCTGTGTTTAGGAAAAAGAACTTATTAAATAAAGAAAAATAATAGAAACATATTTTTTTTAGAAATTTCATTATATTAATAAATAGCCATAACAATATTTAGAATTATAATACGAATTACAATATATATTATACCAATTCATCATGAGGCCTTCGAAAATATCATCATTTATATTAAATATTTTATGTTATTTTTTTAAATATCTATTTTATAATTTTCCGATGTCCTCACTACGTCATCGCTATGTCATGCCATCGGTAGGTATTTATTTTTATTTTTTTTATTTGTTGATTTTATTTATTCATTTTATACAAACAGATGAATGGAATTTCGAGAATTGATGTTGTACATATACCTAACATGGATTGAGAGATTTGAAAAATCTTCTTTGAATTAATATAATCAATATTCCCTCAACTTTCTAAATATGAATGAAGTAAATGATGTGAATAAAAAGATTCAGGCTAATATTTCACTTAATCCTTTCTTTATTTTTTAGATTACCTTATCAATTTTCATCTCATATTATCAATTACATATTAATGAAATCTCTACAAGATACTCAACTTGTATGTTTATTTTGAACATACTCACAATTTTTGTCAGTACTTACATTATAATTTTTTATACTCATATTTTTCTTTCATAACCAATAATTAAGAAGATAATCAAGTATATTAAAATATTATTATCATAACTTATTTATAATCTCCAATCCTTATAAATAACTCTTTCTTTATTTTTTTCCCCTCCCTTAATGAATTTATTTATCACTAAATTTTATTATCTCTTTTCTTTCTATCTCGATTCTAGTTCTCAAAACCTTATCAATTCCTTTAATTTAATTTAATTTAATTTTTATAATATAATAATTTATACCTTCTTTTTCCCCCCTTTTTTAATCATATTTTTTAACTTACAATTAATTAACCTTAATCTAACATTACATTCATCATGTTATTTTTTAACTTTTAGAATATTATAATAGGCTTGATAAGTCCCCCAAAAATATTTTTTTAGATAGCCCTCCAACTACTAGAAATATGCATCTAATATTGACCCATCTACTGGTTTTACATTATTTTTTGTTAAATTTCAACAATAGTTTATTTATATTTTTGCCTGATTTCTTTATTTGTCTAGTCTAAGCTTAATCTCTCACATTGCTACAAAACATGATGAATCTATTATTAAAGATAAGCAAAGAAAATAATGACGATTAAACAAATGCCTTACCCATTCTAGAGTTACTGGTAGACAAAATAATAAAGAACTACGCTTGAAATGAACTCATCTGGAGGTTTATTTTGTTTTTTTTATCTTATATTTTATATCTAAGTTTATTTTATTTTCACCCAGTTCTCCAAATGATATTTCTATCACCACTAATACAATCCCTATGCCACCTCCGCCTATTTTTTAACAAATATAAATATTTAATTCTGTACTATCATTCACTTCACTAGGTGTTAATATAAATATTACTTAATCCGATTCTCTGAGAAACTTTCATGAATATTTAGAGGATGTTCAAACTTGAATGTACAGTACGGCCAATTTCATCAACTTTATTAATGGAAAAATATGCAGTAGTTTTGTAGTGACCTTTGACCGTTTTATGGTTGAGTTAACATTGTTGTTCATGATTCTATTTTAGAAGGGGATACCAATGCTGACATTGACAGAAATATCATTTTGCGTGTTCAACTTGAATGTACAGTACAGCCAATTTCATCAACTTTATTAATGAAAAATATGCAGTAGTTCTGTGGTGGCCTTTATAACAATACTTACGACCGTTTTATGGTTGAGTTAATATTGTCGTTTATGATTCTATTTTAGAGGGGGATACCAATGCTGACATTGACAGAAATATCGTTTTACGTTTTTCTTTTACCAGTATCCCAAGGCATAGGCATATCATCTTTATCAGGACGTAATGTGTTTTGTACACTGCTTTGTTAATCCGTCATTACTTTCATCTGCAACCCTAAATGATATAAAATTATACATTAATTATTTCCTCTCCAGACGACCGCCCAGATTTATTTTGCCACTTTTTCCAACAAAAATTAAAATGTCAACAAGGATTTGCTCTTAATTTAATCGAATACATAATAAATAATCCTCATTATTTTTTAAAAAAATTATCCTAAATTTATGTCAATAAAAAAAAATATCTGAAAAAATATATAAATAATTTGCATATAAGTTTCATTAGTGTTTAATGGCATTTTTGTAATTTAAATAGACAGCATTTTTTTTTTACTTAACATAAAAAAAATATATATCCCTTATCAAATTCTTTGACAAATATTTTTAAAAATGCAAGACATACATTAAATTTATCTAAAAAACAACAATAACCTTATATAATAAAATATTTTTTAGATATAATTTTTATTGATCATATTACAAAAAAGTATAAGAGTCGGTTATTTTTATTTTATTTGTCATGATTCTCTAATAAGTGGTTGCCCAGGCCTTCCCAGTTTCCCTTAATATGGGAATTTACATGTTTTTTATTAGACTAATTGATAAATCAGATATTTCCCGTTCATGTGATGATATTAAAAATTTAACTATCTCCGAGGCGGGATAAAATTTTCAAAATTATAATGGGTAGAACTGGACTTGGAACCTCAAAATTAATATTAGCTTGCACCTGACTTGGGAATATCTTTTACAAATTATTAAGGGTTGAGCTGGGCTTGATAAACTTTTTTAAAATGATAAGATCTTGGATGCTTCCTAATATTGTGAGCTTGAACCTGGCATGACATCTATAGTAAAAAATGAATAAAAATCCCATTCCCCGTCATTTTTGGCGGGTTTTCTACTAGTATATATTATTTAATAGTGTTCAAATTTTTCATAATTTTAAAAAAAATATTAAAATAAAGAAATTTAAAAAATTTATTGAACCTTGAATTTAATTTAAGAAAAAGTTATTAATTCGGGGTTTTGGTTCGTTAAAATATAATGGCTCAAAGGGTTCTAGTTCAGAGATCGGATTCAAAGCTGGTTTTTACATTTTCACATATTTTTAACTCGATTCTACTTTTATTTAACATCTTTGTTCAGAGTCGACATGAGCAATGGGGAACGGAGAGAGGGGTAGAGGGGGAGGGGAATTTGAGCATTTGGCTTTTTTGAGGGTAAGGATAAATTTATTAGGGGTTATCACTTATATTCTTGATTACGGGCCTCAAAGATATTCCAAATTTACTTAATATTACGAAGATTGCTGGACGGCCTCGTACGTTAAGTAGCATATTGATTCTTTGGAATATATAGGCCGTAGCTATAATAACCGTCAAACAATTTAATATGAATTTGGATTGATTACATCTTAAAAATAAAAGAACACTTAAAAAATTAGGCCCAAAGATCTATCAGTTATTGAAAGCACTAATTTTTGATAAAATTATTTTTCACTATTTTATTATCAAGACAACCCAATTCTTAAAATAAATTCCCCCATTTCTTAATAATCAATAAAATAAATATAGGTTTTCATTACACTCACTTCTTATTTTGTATAAAAAATAGATTTTTAATCTAGACATGAAGGCAACTCAAAAAATCTATATAATCATATTCAAGTAAATAATTATTGCAAAAATAATATTAAATTTTATCAATTATAATGTAAGAATAATTTTAAAGGCATGAAAAAAATATATGTTTTGTATAAATTGTCGTTCAAAATTTATACGATATATATGAAAATAAAATATAGCAGAATTTATAATTTCCTAACATCTTATTAAACCTGAAGATATTTACATTTTATATTACAAAGTTTGAAAAAAGTATAGGCTAATTTTTTTTTACTATTTGCAAAAGGGGGTAAGTGTTTGATAAAATAGTATTTATTTAAGTATAAAATATAATATATTATATGTTTGCAATAAGAAAATATATATCCATATATAATTTTACAAAATCGTTTATCTATTTAATCTATTACAATAGATTATAGCTTAAAACCAAATATAAAAATACAACTGAAACTCATTTAAATTAAACAAAAGGAAAAGGTTTATTTTGAATTTTTTTCAAAGATTAGTGCTAAATTTCTACAATAGAAGAAAAACGGATATAGTTAATAATCCAAATGTTTGGGAAGGCACTCAATTTGTTAGTACTTTAGTGTAAAATAACATTGATACGAGTATCGAAAAATCTGTGATAAAAAGTTGGGTAATGGCTAAATGTCGGTTGAGTTTTCAGGCGCCTGCCTAGAAAATCCTTTAAAGGCGTTTTAATTTATATTAGTTCATTTAAAATTCGAATTGCTATCTTTTTAAGAAGAGGCCAAAGTGACAGTTTTCGGCTAAAATTATAGTAAGTTTAAAAATTTATTTTTACTTTCATTCAAGGAAATGTTCCTAGAAATACCTGATTTTCTCATTAATTTTAAATTTAAAATATGACATATTTTCTTTAAAATGAATTTTAAAAAAGTAATATTTTTTCTGCCTTTTAAACAAAAACATAAATAAAATATGTATCTTGTCAACATGCAGACCCCAATGGGTACTTTGATGAATGTACAATTTCATATACATTTTGTATGAATCTTCTGTCTAGACATTAATGGCATTGGTTAACAATATTTACAAACATCATCTATTTAATTAGGGCAAAATTTTATTCTAGCTTAGAAATTATTTTATAAATATTCGTATCATGACGTCAATAAATATCATAAATTGCACAAATACAAACAATTATAAATATCTGCGAAATAATCTAAGCATTAGTTAAGCAACATTTTTATAATACTTATCACAAACACATTTATAGATTATATAATATAGTATCTAACCTATCCATCAATAAGTATAAATGGTTGTTCACATAATTTTTTTTATATAAAACAGATTTCTTATAAAAAATAAAAATTAATTTGAATAAATATTAAAAAATTTCCATAATATCAACACTAGTTTATAAAAAGAAAACAAAAATTTGATTTATATATTTGTTAAAATTTGCATTATTATAAATAAATCATTATTAAATATTTCCAAAATATTAGTAAGAAAACAAAAATTCGATTAATATATTTGTTAAAATTTGCATTATTATAAATAAATCATTATCAAATATTTCCAAAATAACAAAAAGAAAACAAAAATTCGATTAATATATTTGTTAAAATTTGCATTATTATAAATAAATCAAAATTCCCCTTAAAATTAAATAATTAGATATTAAATGATTAATTATGTGATGTATCAAATATTATATTTGTTGTTGTATATGGGTAAAAAAAACTATTTTAGGATTAAAATGAAGTGATTTTAATATTATTTGTCATTTATTGAGATAAATTTTTTAAATTGAGTTCCAAAATGTAGTTGAAATTAGTAAAATAAGAAAATATAAGTTTTAGAGATATGATTTGACAGTTTCCGTAATTATTTGACAAGATTCGTCGATCTGCTTTTCCGTGATGATGAGAGGTGGTGCCAACCTTATTTTATCGCCGTGAGTGGGTTTAGCCAACAAACCCTTCTTCATAAGTCTCAAGCAAAGATCCCACGCGTCATAACCTAAAATATATGTCGAGGAATTAGAGATAGAAGAGAAAAATAATATTGTGATTTATTTATTTTCTAACGTCATTATTTATTTTATGAAATACTACTTAAGAATTTGGAGATTTAGAAAATATTCGTAAAATAGATATAAAATATTTTTTGATTAAACATTTGCATTAAGCGCTCCTGTTTACAGTTTGTTAAGTCTAGGGTATTTTTAGAAAAAAATGTATCTACACCAATTTTGAAAATAATATATGATTAACTCATTAAGTACGAATTTTTTTTATCATATCTAAAATAATTTTTATCATTTTTCTAAATTTAGAACATTAGAGGGTTGGCATGATTTGATTAAATAGATTTAAATCGCAATAATCATGATTAAAATAAGTATAAAAAAATTGAATAAAAAATCACAATTTTAAATCAATTTTCCTATATATAAACTTCCGGGGAAGAAAGTTCGGAATCAGAACTAGTGTTGTTAAAATTTTTAAGAACAGCTATCCCAATATCTTTGCAACAAAATATTAGGCAAGCCTAGGGATTTTGCTCATAGATGGCAGAAAGGTTTGGACATTTATTAACAAAATCTTAAGATTTGCGTTATTTCTTTCATTCTTGAAAATAATTACCACTAATCAGAGTAAAAAAAAATTCCTCCGTGTTTTTCACTTTGGTAAAGATTTAATATTTAAAAAAAATGTTTTAGGAAAATTTCTAAAGATAAATCTTTTTAAGGCATTCTCCTGAGCCAACAGCTTACTATCAACCGAGTATAAGATGAACCAATCTCTACAATTAGATAACTAGTTTATGTTCAGCAAAGTGTGAACGTAGGAGATAGTCTATCCTAGTTTTTCTTTATAATTATTATAGATCTAGCTCTAATAAATTTTTGATTTATCTATAATATAATTATAAAACAAATATCGCTAAAAGGATATTACATGCAAATAACCGAAATTTTTGGTGGCTGGTGCAAATAATAATATAAATTATTAATAAAATATAGGGCAATAAAGTGAGAAAATCTAGTAGTAATGGTTGATTTAACAAAAATCGAATTAATGATGAATGTTGGAAATGTAAGATACTTATATAGGTAATTCATTAAAAATCATTACACGTCCAAAATGTATGGATTTTTTATTTCCAATTTCAAAATAAAATTCCTTACAAAAATAATGTGTCAGTCAATTGACGTTTTTGGTAGTTTTAGGTGAGGAAAATTTTGTTACTTCCAGTGTTAAGGAAATTAAAGATGTATAATTTTAATATATCAATTTGTCTTTATTTAAATATTTTGACACTATCAAAATTAATTCATCCAGTTTATAAAATATAAAAGAAACACCCTTTTATTTCTTATTCCATTTGGTTTACTTAATTTTTAATTTTATTTAAAACATGATATTGATTTTTAAGAAAGTAGTACGTAACATACCTTCGTGAACTACTATAGCATTTAACAAGCCTTTGCCCCTAACTAATTTGACCACTTCTCTGGGAAGTTTGGATAGATTATCTCTCAACCTTATGCCCAGGCGTTCGGCATTTGCAGCTAGATTTTCGTCTTCGATTATCTTTTTTTTAGAAAAATATAGAGGAATATTTTTTTATTAGCTAAAATATATGTATTTCATAATTTTATACGAAAATTATTCGAATTTATTTTAAAATTTTGATTCTTCTCCATTGTTTTATTTTGCTTATTTCCACCTTCCCATCTACCACACTGCGTAATTCCCCGTAAAAAAATATATATTTAAAAAAAACTTACTTTAAGAGCCGTTTGAGCAATTTTACATGCCAGAGGGTTACCTCCATAAGTTGAGCCGTGTTGACCGGGCTTAATGGTTAACATAACGTTATCGTTAGCTAGAACCGCACTAACAGGGTAAAGTCCACCCGAGAGCGCCTTTCCGAGTAAGAGAATATCAGCCTTAACACCTTCGTGATCTAAACATAATCTCCTTTGAGTAAAGAAAAAAATATCAGGGAAAAAGGTTTATCGTGTTTCAGGATTAAGAATTTAAAAACAAATAAATAATCGGTTTATAATACTTCCCAGTCCTTCCCAATCCAGTTTGTATTTCGTCAGCTATAAAGAGGATATTATATTTGTCGCAAATAGCCCTAACACCTTTCAAATAACCGGGAGAGGGGACTCTAACTCCAGCTTCCCCTTGAACGGGTTCCACCATGAATGCGCAGATGCGCTGAGAATTTTGGCGAATGGCGTTCTTTATTAATATATTTTTTAAAAAATTAGGGTACAGTTAAAATTTTGAGATAATATATATTTACCGTTTACAATTTTCAATCATATTGGCAAAGAGGAAAAAAATATAACGATTTCATTAAATAGGATTTATGCTCAATTTCCTAAACTTAGAATCATATAACAAAAAAATTAATAACAAATTTTCATTCTCTATGGCATTTATTTAAACTTCATATTCATAACATATTGTAGAGCATAATTATGAAGTTAACATAATTGACAAAAATAAGGTGAACTTTTCTAAAAACCTAGGTCATAGAATATTTATAATTTCTATTAAAAAAAATTGTAACAAATAAACAAGCTAATAAAAGTTATAAGGGGAAAAAAAATAACTTCTAGCGCTGCCAAATCATCGTAAGAAATGATCTCGAAACCGGGCATGAACGGACCGAACCCTTCAAAACATTCGGGATCGGTGGAGGCCGAAACAGCAGCCAGTGTTCGACCCCAAAAGTTTTGCTCGGCGAACAAGACGATGGCTTCGTTATTGGGTATACCCTTGACTGTGTAAGCCCATTTACGAGCGAGTTTTATTCCCGTTTCAGCCGCTTCCACGCCTGCGAAAGAAATATGACATCGTTTTTTTTATAATAAATTAACTAGGTAAATTCCATAGTTATTTTAACTTTCTCTTCAGCTAATGCATTATAATTTTTATTAAATAAAAAGAAACATTTAAGGAAGTATAACCAACCAGTGTTCATGGGAAGAACTTTGTCGTAGCCGAACAGCTCGGTAATATATTTTTCATACTCGCCCAGTACATCGTTGTAGAACGCTCTGGATGTGAGTGTCAATATCTGCGCTTGGTCTTGCAGCGTTTTGACTATCTTAGGATGACAATGACCTTGATTCACGGCGCTGTAAGCGCTTAAAAAGTCAAAGTAACGTTTGTCGTCCACATCCCACACATATACGCCTTTGATAATTCGTAAATTTTCAAAATAATATAGCTTGTGACAGAATTTTATTTTGTTGGAGACGTTTTTTAACAACCAGTTTCTAGGCTATGTTACTAATTAAAGTTAGAATCTTAATAAGAAAACCTATCGTGATCACCTCTAATAAATGACAAAATCCTTATCCCGAGCTCTTAGGACAGGCCAAAATCCTATTTAAAACTATTTAACATGTCACTGTCATGGTTGACTATTAAGAATAACTGATCACCTTCATAGAAGTACCCAGTGTCTTATTTGGATAGGACAAGAGAGGGGGCAATTTTTTTTCTAAAATAGACTTAAGTAATCTCGAAAATTAAATTATATATAGTATAAGAAAAAAATAGGTAGGTAATTTAAAAAATTTAATAGTATTTGATAAGAAGTTTTATGGTTCGAATAATATATTTAATCCTAGTGTTGTTAAATAGTCGAGTTCTTCGTACTCGGAACTCGAATCGTAGTGGTAAAAAACGGCTCCGACTCAAGCCGATAAGGTACCGTATGAGCCTACTCGATTAGTCGGATCATTTAGTAGGCTCACTTAGTCAACTCGCTGGGTCGGCTCAATTGTTTTAATTTATTTATTTATAAGTAAATTATAATCTTTGATATTTCTTTTTACATGTATTGAGTCGATTTTTATAAACGGCTAACTCAAATGTCGAGTAAATTGCTAAATGATGGGCTACTGATTAACGTGAACAAAAATTATAAAAAGACATTATCCCCATTTTATTTTAAGAATATTTATGACGAAACGAAAAAGGTTTCTGGACCCGAAATCGGGTTCAGGAATTTTAGACTCTATTTGGTAGAAATTTTGATAACATGAACTTCAAAAATCGATTTTCTAAAAGAGTGTAACTCGACCCGATTCATATTACCCCCCTTCCATATAGAATATCTGCTTGAACATGATGAGCATCTTACTCTATAAGATGCTCCATTTTTCTCCATTATTTATATAACAAAATGTGTGATTGCCATGGTTCTGAAATTATGATCGCGGTAAAATTTATGTAACCGACATAAACCATAGTCCGGTCTTTATATTGTGGTCAACAGTTAGGTTTGGCCTTCCGGCCGGCTTTTTTCAAAATAGCCGATTTAAAAAAAATATATATATATAATTGTTAGGCCCATGTCCTGGCTCGACTTATTTCGGCTAAACAGCTTTTGAACTAAGACACCTTATTTTAGTTTGTTTAGTGTTTTGGGCATTATTTTTTCCTATTACTTTTTTGGGGTTTTAGTCAACCGGTTGTTTAGTCATAAATCGAACCCAGAACACACCCTTAATTTCGAAAAAAATTAATTAAAATGTAAGACGATTTTTTTACCAATACATTTGCTTTCTTAAAGTAAAAATTTCAATATGTATCTATTTCTAAAAAATCTCTGAAGAGCCTGACCAATTAATCAAATTGAAAAATAAACGGATAATTTTCTAAATAAAAATAACAATTTATATCCATCATTATTATGCTTTGTAATTTTTTATGAATATTATATTTTTCATATAAATTACAATCATTATCGGTTTGACTAAACTGAAAATGCCAAGGTAATTTGTAAATGCTTGGGTAAACAATTTTTTTATAGCCTCTATTCAGTTGAAATTCATTTTCTTGTGATATAAACAAGTTATATATATATATTCAATAATAAGGGAATATAAATAATTATATTTCATCCAACCTATTAATGAGCCATTTAAGGCTAAACCCGGCCTCCTGTTTCAATCTTGTTGAAAATTTGTATATAAACGAAGATTCTTATAATCTATACTTGAGCAAAATTTTAGCCTCCTAGCTTTTTATACTTCTGAAGATATTTACGGCCAAAAATTGAAAAATTGCCTTTTTTGCTAGTGTCTATATTCATTAAATAAGTATACTCTTAATATTTAGTAAATATAAGTAAAAAATTATTTTTGAAAACTTCTAGACCTCTTATTCCCAGAATAAAATTTAAAATCCTGATAATAAAAAGTGGATAAAATCGATTTTTATGGAACTTTAATTTTATAAGAGTAAAAAAAATTAAAAAAATATTTTTATACTATATATGGCGTTTAAATTTTATACATCTAATATTCTTAAGTGTATTTTTACGATTATTTCTTTATACTAATTTCTCTACAATATTCCTATTCAACAAAAGAACTACTTTTATATTTTATTATGTATTTATTTTATATTAAAATTATATTTTTATATATCATATTAGCATTTATGTTTCTGTATTTCATGCAATATATTTTGTCATTTTTTATATAATGATTAAATTTTTAACTCGATATTTATTCTTGCAAATGTGTTAAGAAATCATCAAAAAATATTAATTTTTTCCTAAATAAAATGAAAGAAAATATCATGCATACTATTTAATAAGTCAACTAAATAAATTCTGTAATCCAATCAATATTCTTAACCGCAAATAGCTAAAAAAAAATTAAGAAAACTTAATATGAATATAAAGTTTGTATTAACTGTAAAGATCGTAAAATTGAAATTATAAGCATAGATGTCGAAACAAAAATTTAATAAAATAGCAAGTGCCATTGCAACAAGCACAAATATTGAGGACAGTATTGAAATTCAAAAGAAATTGTAGATGATATAATAGTATATCTTAAAGATAAATGCAAACAATTATCATAATCGGGTAATTGTAGTGTTAAAGCAATTTTAAGTAGCATATCATAAAGCGAGAGCAGCAAAAATATTAAGTATGGAAAAAAATTTTTAATCAACCTTCAATCCAAAAATGGGAGAAGTATTGATGAAAATATATTAAAATTTTAAAATAGAATTCTATGATATTAAATCCGCTAGTTGGCGTATTCTTTTAAAAAAATATTTTATAATTTTTTTGTTACATATTTCTAAAAATTATATTAAAAATATTACTTAAAAATATACCTCAGTCCATTTATTATCTAAGAAAAAAATTGTTTGAAACAAATTACAGTTTAATTGTTAGATTTTAAATATAAGTTTTAATGCTTATCTATATTTAATTAAAGCTTAAAACTAATTTTAAAATAATTTTGGTATACTTTGCTATTGATATTTTTTCTAATAATTTATTATCAAATTTAGCAGACTTGGGAAAACAAATGATAGGCTAATCAAATATCATTTTAAAAGAAAAAGGTAATTTCAAATGGGATATTTCTTTAAAAAATTTGTGAACCAATCTGTGTTGTAAATAATAATGATTAATTTTTTTTGATTTTGTTTTTCGGAAATTATTATTTTTATATTGAAGTTATGGATAAATAAACACTTTCATTATATATAAAATTTTGAGAATTATAAAATTATTATGAGATTGATGTTTTGTTAAAAAATTATTATATTAAAAGAGCTAATAAAATAAAAAGTTTTAACAACGACTGCCTTAATTAAATATCCATAGAAAATTAAGTTTAAATCGCAACAGATAGCAAAAGTTTTTATTGAATTATTTTATCACTACCAATATAATAATGCTTTCTTAATATTTATAATAAATACTATAGCAAAATTATAAAAAATATACTTAAACTTTTATATGCAGATGTTACTTTATTTAATCGTATAGAATTTTAAATAAAATTTTTAAAAAATAACAAACGCCAACTTGCGGATTGAATATTATCAAATTATATTTATTTTATTAAGTTACATACGTTATTATTTTGTGAAAATCATTATTGAATATTTCTATTCTTATTGAATTGATAATCTTAATTTATATTATTTAATTTCATTATCACTTTAAATTCATCATAATTTTTAAAACTTATTTATATCATAAGAGAATAAATCTAAACTCAAAAAATAGAATAAATAATTTTTTTAAAACCAAAGCCTATATTTTTTTTTTATGGAATTGATTATCTTAATTTATTTATTCAATTTCATTGATTATCTTAATTTATTTATTCAATTTCATTATCACTTTATTAAATTCATCATAATTTTTATAACTTCTTTATATCATAAGAAAATAATTCTCAACTCAAGACTACAAAAATTATTTTAACCTAAGCATATAAAATAAAGATTTAACCCCCAAAATCATAAAAAACTCAGATATTCATTATAACCATTAATTTTTTATAATTATCAACCACCTAAATTCCTTTTGTTGTTTTCTTGTTTTTGAAATACTTTTTATATTATGTCAGGCTTATTCTTTTTTTAAAAAAAGCTAATATATTTATTTGCTTATCGTATTCGTCACCCCTTAGCTATATCTTTTCTTTTCCTAAACTTTTGATCTTTTCCCCTTTTTTCCATTATTTGTTTTTTCCCTTTAAAGCGTCATCATGGTAAATGTTTGTTGCCATGATAGTTTAAAATTAATTTAACTTAATTTAATACCTTTAGGAAACATTGTTCACCTTTTTGCTTCAATTTTTCAAAATTTCTTCTTCTCTTAAAGATCCTTTTATTAGATCTCCTCACTGGCGTGCCCCTAGTCCCGATGGTAATTCTTAAAGATCTGTTGATTGATTTTTTATTAGGCATACGCCCCCCACCCAGTTTTATCTTGAATAAATACAGCAGCCCGAGAATCGATTTCAAGGTTCCTCAAGTCTCTTATAAATATTTTGAATTCAAATTTATTTTCAAAACCCATATGTTTAGACCTAATTAGTTTTTGTTTTCGAGTTATAGTTAAACCCCAAAATAAAATAAATAATTTATCAGCTTCAATTAATGAGAAAATGTCCAATTTTGATAATACCATTTCAAATCCCAACTTTTTCCACAGCAAATTAATCTCTGAAAAATTAGATTTTGGAGATATCTGATGATATTATTTCTCTTATCAATACTACTATTTTTCTACAACTTTTCGAAAAACATCCAATGGCGTCCCCTCCACGCATGGCTTATCTCCTATTCCCCTTACCTGTGATATAGTCCTTAAGTGACCACATGTGGATCAGGCGTCAGACCAAGTTTTTTTTATTGATTTA